CGTAGTACTGAGAAGATAGATACTTTAAACAAGCGAATTCTTAGAGTTATCTTGCAGGATTATAATTCTCCCTATGACTCTCTACTTAGCAAAGTTAACTCCAAATCTCTGTATAAAAGACGCCTTCAGACTTTCTTAATTATATTGTACAAGAGCTTGTTTTTTAACTGCTATCCAGGCTATCTAAAGAATATGTTTAGTTTCCGGTCTGTATCCTATAATCTACGCGGAAATTATATTTTGTCTCTACCGTCTACAAAAACTACTACTTATGGTCTTCACTCCTTTTCATATATGGCTTCAAAACTATGGAACTCTCTTCCGGACTCTTTTAGAACGTCTGACTTTTCTGATTTCAAGCGCAAGATTCTACAGTATGACTCTTTCTCATAGTTAAATTTTAGAATGTTACAATTTTACATTTTACATTTTAGTAGTATTTAGAATTATACTTGTAACTCGAAGATACTAGCTTATTCTTTAGCTACTCCAAATTCGAGATTAAATAAAGTATATGTATGTATGTATGTAAGGTAAATCTCCATTGGGGGATTGAGTGGAAATCTCTCCCTTCCCTCTCTACCAATCAAGTGGCCTGGCCACTCAGTGTTTCCTGCACTTTAGACTGTCTACTCAGTTACTTGTGGACTTCTCATTATTTTCCTTGTAACATTTTCCTTTGCTTTGATTGTGTCACATTGATTTATTTGGGTTTGGTTTTACACAACTCAATCAAAAAATGCTTTGAAATGCCTCATTGACAAAGGGATGTTAAAGGATTGTATTTTGAAATTGCTCAATCAATAAGATGGCAACACAGTTAGGAACTGAATCGATACAGAAAGGAAAAAAAAGGCCATAACTTACATGCTTAGCAGTAGTAAACAGTTCTACTTAAAAACATAATTTCCAATTTGATTGAAAAAGTTGCTTTTCTTTTGTTTCCTCTGTGTATAAATTAGTGGGTAAGATGAAAGAAAAAAAATTTTCACCTTTAAGAAATGTGCCAGCATGCTTGGAAGTGTACTTTTATTCTTCGAAATCAGTATCGTACACACCATCCAATAAAAGGGAAATGTAACTATTTTACAAGAAACCTTCACTTGTTTTGTTTATATTTAGGAAGCGCACATCGCCGAGTTAGATGCCAAAAGTGGAGCATCTCTTAAATTAACCATTCTGAACAGTAAAGGTCGCATTTGGACCATGGTGGCAGGAGGCGGAGCCTCTGTGGTGTACAGGTAGGCTGGTGTATGTGTTGTTGAATACCCCAGGGTGGTTACTTTATACGTCCAATATCAAATTTACCTGGCTCATAATGTGATCTGTACCATACGTCAGAATGGGGTTGACACATCAGATGATTGAAGACCGCAGTGACTTTGCTCCTTATTTGAATACATGCCAAATCGCGCTCCTGGGAATGAATGTTCTCTCAGGCACCGAAAATTTGGGGAATATTCGCGCTTTGTTATGGCGGAAAGACGCGAACAAATTCTCGAGAACGAAGACTGCAATTCGTGCATACCGTTCAAATTACTTTTGTATAATACTGGAAGACATGCTCTGGTGAACAGATGCTCCATTCTTGAAATGTTGCCCGAGGAACTGAACAGTTTGCATGCAACGTCAAAAACTTTGACAAGAGCTGAATATAGTACTGCACTGCCTTAATTGTGATTATGCCTCTGCTCTTGTTTGTGTCAATCTAGTGACACTGTTTGTGATTTGGGTGGTGCGTCAGAGTTGGCAAATTACGGCGAATATTCAGGGGCGCCATCAGAATCACAGACCTATGAATATGCTAAGACGATTCTCGAGCTTATGACCGCCGGTACACCAAGGGCTGATGGTAAGATGTCTGAAATTTCCATTCTTTTTT